TGTGTTTTGCAAGTTGTATCAGAATGCAGCGTATGCGTATCGGAAGTCACAGTTCATGTACTACTGGAACCAGATACTATTTGGTTGGAAGTGGTTCACTGGCTGAATACTTACAAGAAATTGGGATAGAACGGTGGGCCCAGTGCTACCAAGTTGGTAGAAGGAATGAAAACATGACGATGAACAGCGCTAAGTCAGTGAATACCCTCCTTCGAGAGGCTAGAGAGTTGTCGGTCACTAAGATTGTCGAGTTCATCCGTGACTGGCTCCAAAGATGGTTCCACGAAAGAAGAACTTATTGGTCCACCCGAAACACCTCTCATTCAGACTATGCAGAAGAGCGACTTGCACTACAGTTTGAGAAGTCTCGTTGCTACATAGTCAAACCAATCGACTGGTGCATGTTTCATGTTGAGGACGGCGGCTTGGATGAGACGGTTGATTTGAATGCTCGTACATGTACATGCATGGAGTTCCAGTACAGGAGTATTCCATGTTCGCATGCAATAGCAGCAGCGAGGCACAAGAATATAAATTGCCACATATTTATCGATCCATGCTACAGTGTGGACTCCCTAACTGGTGCTTATGCAGAACTAATATTACCGGTAGGCCACGTGTCGGAATGGAAAAAGCCAGATTATTACCAGTCTCTTCCCGTCCAACCACCAAGATTCGTTAAACGAGCAGGCCGGGGTAGAATGCAATGGATCGCCTCAACCGGTAAGCGCAATCGTGTCAACAAGTGTTCTCGATGCGGTACATCGGGTCACAATAGACAGAAATATATTAACCCAATTACGACAGCACAGACGTCCGCATGCAGAGATGAGAGGGAGGGTGTAAGTCAATTAGATAGTGCAGCGCCTCTGTGAGAACACCCAATTTCTTCAGTAACATATTTGTATTCGTACTTGAGTATCTAGAATTTGTCTCGCTTTCTCGCTCGTGCTCTCCTTCGCTCTCATTTTTTCATTGTATATTTATCGCAAATAAAAAGATATTCTAGCATTCTCGTTCTCGCTTTATCCATTTCTCGCTTTCTCCCTTTCTCGCTTTCTCGCTTTCTCCCTCACTCGCGTTCTCCCTTTCTCGCTCTAGCTGTCTAGCTCTCGCTCTCCTTCGCTCTCATTTTCTCGCTGTATATTTATCGCAAAGAAAAAGATATTCTAGCATTCTCGCTCTCGCTTTATCCATTTTTCGCTTTCTCCCTTTCTCCCTTTCTTGCTCTCTCTCTATCAAGATGTCTATATCCATAACCAATTAAGAGTGATTAATTAATGCGCCTTTTCAAATCCCCAATGCTTTCTTCCACATTTTCAATGCACTAATTACTCTTCCTACACGTTATCCTAATTTAATTAATTTTGTGATTCTTCACATCCACATACCATCATCCAACCCCCCTATATATAGATACCACCAAGTACCCAACAACGGCATCCACTTCCAATTATTTGCTTCTTTAGAATATCGAACATTGTCTTTCAGAAGCAAACATGTCAACCTCCTACGAGTCAGACAGTTCGTCTTCCGACGGAGCAACTAGTTCTATCTCAAATCACCCCTCATTGTTTGCGGAGAACAATGTTCAAGATCCAAGGGACGCTGCTATCCAACAAGCAAGGGAAGAAAACGTTCAATTGAGAAGAGAGCTGCGTCAAACGCCTCACGAACTAAACAACACGAAGTACAGGTTAGCCCAGGTTGAAGCAACGGGGGACTTACTCGAAGGACTGCTTAGGAGGAGAAGGAGGACCAACTTCGTCTAGAAGACAGAGTTAGCATGTTGCTGACCTGTCTACGTCGATCCCATAATAATAATAATAATAATAATAATAATAATGTTTCAAATCCCATTATAGTAGCATATGATGTTGTTTTGTTTAAGCTACTAAAAAAATTGTAATGGGATGCCGTTTGTTTTGTTTTATTTACTAATTTTCTTACTTAATTAATTAATTAAAATTTCTCCCTTTTTATTATATCATCACTTACTGTTTCTCATTATCGTATGGTGTTGTTTCTCGTTCATGCTCATTTTCATTCAAGCTCATTCTCGTTCACGCTTATTCACGATCTCTTTCGTTATCTGTTTTGCGTTCTCGCTGTTTTCCGCTGCACCCGTTTGGGATTCTCAAGAAACTAACATCGAGTAAATAAGAATAAATCTAATAAATCCAGCCTTTAATAAACACCAACAACCATTAAACGAATTTAAATTTCATGTCTTTTCATCTCTCTCGATCTCGCTTTAACACGCTATCGATCTCGCTCACGTATCATCATGCTCTCGTTCACGTATCATCACGCTCTCACTCACGTATCATCACGCTCTTGCTCACGTATCATCTCGCTATCGCTCACATATCAGTAGCTAGCCATCACCCTTTAACGCACTAACGATCTCCTTCTTGCCTTCTCGCCCTGTCCGTCAGCTTCTCCCTCAATGTCTAAAAATCAACAAACCAATAAACAAACCACTTATATTAGAATAAGCACAACGAATCATTTGCAAACAAAGGCCTTATGAATGCAGTATTGTTCTCGAAAAGATCCCGACAAAATATGATGTGAAAATACCAAAAAACATGAACTTGTGGTGGATAAAAGTTAGAGTTCACCAAGGATCGAGAGTCGCCGGTAGATGAGAGAAGCAAATCAGATAGAGAAACAAACAAACTAATTAAATGACAGAGAGAAAGAAATGGAGTAAAGTAAGAAGGGGCATGGACGGTCATTTGGTAAAGTGAGTGATGTCAGCAGATACCTAGAAAACTTATGTTTTGAAAAGGGCGATTAAAAAACTAAAAAGACTCTACAGAATGCCTATTTGGTAAAATTTCCCATCTTTTTTGTCACTAAATTTTTTTAGAGGTTTTTGGATTAAATAGTCATTTTAAAAATGCAGTATTACTTGTT